CCGTGACATCATCAATGACCCCTCACCCCCCCACCATGGACTGTTCTCCCTGCTGCCCTCTGGGAAGAGGCTTCCCAGCATTCAATGCAGGACCAGCAGGTTCTGCTGCAGCTTCTTCCCCACCGCCATCACACTGATGAAAATGAATCTAATCACAAATTGAGACTCGGCTTCACGCTGTAAACATCATATTTGCACTACATGGTGAATTTCCAAATCCCTTTAAATAGAACTCAACTTAGTGTATCTACTGCATTTTGCTCCATATTTATTTATTTATTTATTTTGCACATTTTGTCTTATAAATCTGGAAATGGTGAGTGGCGATAAAATGTCCTGGTAGGTTAGCAGTTGTTGACTTTTTCATAACTTATCCAAACCCTGATTTATATGGACACATTGGTAGGAAATGATCACAAATTACTGCTAATAGAGATTTAAAGACAAGTTGCCCTTATTTAGTATTTGTTTCAACAGCTTGAAAGCGAAGAAATAAGGAGGATCAACTGAAATTTGGATTGGGAAAGTAGGTTAGAGCCTGGACTGGATAAAGAGAGAAACCAGTTAGTGGTCTTTGCAGAGCTAAAGAATATTTATTTCATCTGGTTTGGTAAAAATTTAAGCCATTTACTTCTCAATAAAGAAGACATTTCTCACCACTTCTTAAACATAAAACACTCTCTGTCATTCGTATAACAGCTCATCTATTATACTTTGTTTCTAGAATATTTAGAATGTTTTAATAGAAATGTCGTCAGGCTTTCCCAGGCAGGCTAAACCCTGCGGTCATTTAAGTTAGGAAAACACTGACAGTTCCTCCGGGGAGAGGTTGCCATGGCACGGGAGCAAGTGAGGTTGTGTTTCCATGGCAATAAATGCAGGGCTTTGATGCCTGTGGGCTTTCCAATAATGTTTATCTGTTTTTCTGTTCCAGACTGGGATTACAGCACTGGTAGAGTGGGAGGGCCACTGGTTTGCTGTGAGATCAAACTCAAAGACTGGGTTGAGGGTAAGTAGGACGGCATCATATAATGCATCATCTCATCAGACCATCCAGCACTGCGTTCCAAACTAAAACCAATAGTTTGGCTTTCAGTCTTCTAGGAAAGCTACCAGTAGTTTCTCAATAACCTTGTAAGGAAGTCACCAAATGTTTAACTAATCTTTTCATCTCATGGCTCATAACTTATTTTGATGGTGCTCTGCTAAATCTTGATTGCATCAATCTTAGTTTACTGCTTGCTTCCTGAGCCACATGGAAAGAAAAGATAAAGCTTCTTTTTTTGCAGTCATTAAGTTTTCTGCTCTGATTTCAATCAATGACGTCTGAACCCCGTCTGTAGGCGGTTACCGAAGCACCGACAAACCTCATCCCCGGGGAGAGATTCTGATTGGTGGACCCAACGTCACCATGGGATATTACAACTGCAAGGCAAAAAACCAGGAGGACTTTCTGGTTGATGAAAACGGCCAGCGATGGTTCTACACTGGAGACATTGGAGAGATTCATGAAGACGGGTGTCTCCAGATTATCGGTATTTATGGCTGATCATAGCAGAGGAGCCTGGTGTGGATGTCAGACCCAGAGTTGGTTAACTCTGCCCCCACCTCTGTGCAGAGGCATAGCCTGCTCATGTTTATGGGTCGACCTGTGCAGCTGGCTCCTCAGGGTCTATCTACGGCACCCCAAAAGGAAAAAAGACTATTTTCCAAAGAAATACAAATTAGATTTTCCTAAAGCTCAGAAACAGACACATAAACTTACAAATCATATTCTGCATAATATTGATTATTAAATATGCAAATAAATACATTATATTTAGCTGTTCTTTATGTCTGAATACATGAAAGACTCCCAGATAACTTGCAGAAACCAAATTTTCTCTTTACTTCAGAATCTAGTTCTGAGAAATTAAATCTGCATTAATCATCTTTAATGTTCCTACATTTATATTAATAATTAACCTTTATTTCAGTTGTCGGCTTAAAGACCAAAAAAACGTAAAGGTTTTATGGAGGATTTTCACAAATTTTTTGAAAGACCCACCTTGTGCCCTGTAGCCACTCCCAAGAGGGAACGCCTATCAAATGCGTGCGAGAGCGTGCACGAGCCCATTTCTCCTCGTGCACACTCTATTTAAAAGTTGTTGTTCTGATCGCTCATAGCAGGTTACGTGTCTGACCGACCGCCCTGACCCCTCAATCCCTCCATCACTATATAGAGCGGGGACTCTATAGTGAACTTCATAGTGAACTCAGTTAACTGACCGTTCAGACAGACAATCACTGCTTTTTGCTCCCCTTGGTCCACTATAAGGTGCCGGCGCCATCTTTGTTATCACTCACCGCCTGTTGGGTAGTGACAGCCTATGGCGAAGGCAGGCCGCAGTGACAGCAAATCCCATAATGCTTTGTGAGGACAGCTCTCCGTGCAAAGCATTCTGGGATATATTTGCCTCTTCTGAGGCCTTTGTTTCCTCCTAATCCAATTTGTAGACACTTGTTCTTTTCCGACTCTCGGCCTTTTTCAAAGAACCGTGGTGAGAAAGTTGAGCTTCAGTGACCGTCTGAAACCGCAGCTCACCACAGATATACGCCTGAAAGACAAACATCGCTAACGGGACGAGCGCGTAGGACGGCCTTACATTAACATTTCACCAGAATGATTGACAGGTAGGAGGACCACTGATTGAGATGATTGTCCCAGAAATAAAAGATCATCCTCTATACCTTTAATATAAAACATTTTACAAATAAAAATTGGTTAGAACTTTCCACTGTCGGTTAAAACTGCTGGCTGTTTTCAAGGGGAATTACTGTGAATTATGTCCTCATGGGATCAGCTGGTAGGAGGGGCCACAAGGCAACCAGTGATTGCCTGATGGGGGCATGGCCACCCCTGGCCCCCCATCTAGCTCCGCCCTGCTTGTTGTGAACATGAGTTCCAAGCTGCTCTCTGTGTTTCGTTCCAGATCGTAAGAAGGACCTGGTGAAGCTGCAGGCGGGAGAGTACGTGTCCCTGGGCAAGATGGAGGCCGTGTTGAAGAACTGCCCACTGGTTGACAACATCTGTGTCTATGCCAACAGGTTTGTGTTAAAAGAAACAACAGGTGCAACTGACTGATTCAAATCAAAGGAACTATCAGACAAAATGCCAGGTTGAGGATCTAATGTGATGTTTGTCAGAATCTTTGCACTTTTTCTGTAAATTTACTCTGTTCCACGATAAAACAGAATAGCTTCAGCGTATTAGAGACGGACATGAGGCTGACTACAGCTGCTGGACACTTTCTGGCATGAAAGATTAATCTGAACAAATTAAAAGGGATCTTGGTGGATTTTAGCGAAAACAGGATAATATCAAACACACCATAGGAGAAGAATTAAAGGTGGATTTAAGATTAAGGGTCTAGTTACATATTCTATCAGTAACAGTCTGGTTCACATAGAAAGGTTCTCTGATTACATTCTGACTTTATTTTTCTGTCTTAAACGTTGGTTTTGCTCCATTTGATAGTAAACTTCAGATGTTTCTGTATCTAAAAGTAGAAGATTATAGCATCACGGGTATAATATGGTGCAATAATAAGGAAGTAATATAGCAGAACAAGTTTCCAGCTGGGTGTGAAATGAAAGAGCAAAACAATCTAGAATGAGTAGGAATGAATGTTGGCGTTCACTGAAGGCGGAGCTAAAGCAACCTGGGAGATTTCAAAGCCAAACAGCTTCCATTCCCTGAGTGTTTATTCAGCCATTCACTGCGATAACAAGCTGTTTCCTTCAGATTGGAAAGTTTTAACTTCCAGCTCACACTCAGGCATCCCTCGCTCCATGTATGGAAACACATTCCACCTGATAATGCACATGCATGCATATCTCTGTGGCTGCAGCTCCTTATTCGGCTGCACAGCTGCTCTGGATCTTTTTCCTTTCATTGCAGAAGTTGTCTGTTTTTTCACTCCCTTCAAAGCTGCTTCATCTGATTGTCCTCCCTTACAGTGATGAGACATATGTGATTGCCTTTGTGGTGCCTAATCAGAAGCAGCTGCTGACTCTGGCTGGCCAGTACGCCATCAGAGGTACCTGGGAGGAGCTTTGCAACAGTGAGGCCATGGAGGAGCTGGTCCTTAAAGTCATCTCTGAGGCTGCACTGGCAGGTAAGAAGAAGCTGAGAAGAACCTACTCTAGTGGAGGTACCAGTTAACGTGCTCTTACTTTTTATTGCAGCCCAAATGGAGCGCTTTGAAATACCACGCAAGATCCGTTTAATCCCAGAGCCCTGGACCCCTGAAACCGGATTAGTGACCGATGCATTCAAGCTCAAACGCAAGGAGCTGAAAACACATTTCAAAGATGATATTGAAAGAATGTACGGTGGAAAACAACCATGAGCAGCAGATTGACTCTGATATAGTGTGATTCCATTAGAGCAGCAATCTTCACCTTCAGCACAAAATCCCACTTCATGAACCTCAGTTCCCTTGTTAAACCAAGGAAGTAGTCCTAATATGCTGAATTTCCTAATCCTGCAGGCCAGGACACAGTTAACCTTTCTGCTGCTTTTGTTTTGTCTCCGGTTTTGTCCTGTTTGTCTCTGGGCTTTGATGTCCCCCCCCCCCCCCAAACACACTGAGACATAGAAATAAGGATGATCTTAGTGGGGTCAGGTGTGTGATGACCTTGGCCACTATGATGGAGCTGAGATCATTTCTAATAAAGTCTGAGATAGCAGAAGGGTCCAGTATGGAGGCCCTTCAGTCTGTAGTCCATCAAATTATCCCAGTAACTGAATACAAATCATTGCAGCTGCATGTGACGTCCATGTCAGCAAAAAAGAAAAGGAAATAGAACTGTATTGATCTCACAATGGAGAAATTCCCTCTTGGCTGCCATTGTGTGGCGTCCGGGGAGCAGTGTGGGGTTAAGGCTCTTGCTCAGGGACCCAGAGTGGAAGTCTGTGGGGATCAAACCAGGCATACTGCTCTAACCACCAGGCCACCACCTCCAAACCTCTGCTGTGGTAGAAAATCTGAGAAAGCAGCAATGAAAGAAGAGCGCGGCGCGAACCGAGGGCTTATCGTGTCACCCTGGTTTTATGCTGATATTAGATTTTCCTTCATGCAGACTTGAACAGATTACTGTCCTTACAGATTGTCACCTGTTGCGCTTTAGTGATTCTGAAACATGCCTTTCTGATTTTAAACTGATCCTTAGAGTAAAATACAGCATTGATCCAGGTAGAGGACGGCAGAGGAAGATAACGCATGGCTGCTACAGGATCTCCATGCCTCAAAGCAATGCTCACACACAAATATTTATCTGTAATTTTCTCTTGGAAAATGAGATGCAATGATTTTAATAAAGCTATTGTTTAATCTGAATGTTTTAAATGTATTTTTGTTCAGTCAATCTAAGGAAATCTTTGAGCCCAGAACACATCTGAGCCAAAGCAAAGCAGCAATCCTTCGTCATTGAACAGAGCCGGTAGAGATTGCTGGCCCTGGAGGATTCAGGTCCAGAGATTAAACCTTTCTTAGTTTTCCTTTATCTTGTCTATTCTAGCAGGTGATTAGTCCCTAATGCTGGTTTTGATGCTTTAGATTTATCTTTCAAACAACTTGTTTTCAGTAGGGCAGTCATGAACCTCTTGGTGTAATAAAAGAGGACAGATGGACCTAATATTCAAGGTGAGACAGGCAATGGGAAAGTTCAAAACATTAACAGAAGATAAACAGACAGAACAGAAGACTGTGGATCTGAGCACCACAGTGGCTGCAGAAGGAGGGGGGGACTACCCGATCACTGACACTCTGGAGGGAGAAACACCGGTAAGTGACAATGATCATCTGACAGATGATTACCTGAGTGAGTCACCTGGTTTACCAGTTCACTCCATCGTCTCTGACGAAGGCAGATTCCAGCCGATGGACAAGCCAAATGAGCTGCGGACATCAGTGTCCCCCGACTCAGAAACCCCAGCGAGCAGGCAAGGATCAGATCCAGGTCAGGGATACAGATCAGACTGGAAGAGTGCTGGAATCCAGGAATCCTCAGGCTGATCAGGGGTTCCGATCCATACAGGAACAGACAGATCCACACAGAGCGTGAAGGCAGGTTCAGAGCTCCATGCATCGAGCAACCAGCCCAGAAACGCACAGATGCAGACAGGAAGAATCCAGCAGGAGTCCAAAGATGGTTCAGGCGAATAAATCAGACAGGGACAGACAGGCTCAGTGGTTGAGAGGGAATGGAATCAGAAACCACCAAAGAAAAGCTGAAAAGCTCTTACCACTAGAGCTAGTGAATAAACTCACTGGAAGACAACGGCTCTGAATAATCTCCTCACTTGAACAAGGAAATTAACCTTGGACAATTCAAACTAACGAAACAGAATATGCAGGTATCAAACAATGATCTGGAACAGATAGGGGGGCTGAGCCGTATATCAAGCAGAGGGAGCAGGTGAATAAGATGAATGATAATTAGAGAGCAGGATGGGAATGGCAAGTGAATGAATGAAGCGAGTAATGAAGGTCAGCTATCAGGGCAGATCATCACACTTGGGAATATGAAGTGTTCTAGAACAGGAATGCAACCCCAAATATAGCAGAAAATCTACAACAGAATGGCTGAAAAACTAAAGCCCTGATGTGTTACTGATCAAAAATTCAGATCTGAAACTGAATTAACTGCTGTAGAATTATGATGAAAATGAAAAAGAGAGATCATATCTCTCCTATCCTGGCTTCTCTTCAATGGCTTCCTGTTAAATCCAGAATAGAATTTAAAATCCTCCTTCTCACATATAAAGCCTTAAATGGCCAAGCTCCATCTGATATCAGAGATCTGATTGTTCCTTATGTTCCTAACAGAGCACTTCGCTCTCAATCTGCAGGTTTACTAGTGGTTCCTAGAATTTCTAAAAGTAGAATGGGAGGCAGATCTTTTAGTTATCAGGCTCCTCTCCTGTGGAACCAACTACCAGTTTTAGTCCGTGAGGCAGACACCCTGTCTACTTTTAAGGCTAGGCTTAAAACTTTCCTTTTTGATAAAGCTTCTAGTTAGAGTGGCTCAGGTTATCCTGAGCTATCTCTATAGTTCTGCTGCTATAGGCTTAGACTGCTGGAGGACATAGGGACCCCTTTTTCATCATTCTGCTTCATTCTATCTCTATTCTCCCACTCTGCAGAATCTGTTAGTTCAATCTCTAACGTTCTGCTCTCTCTGCTTTTTCTCATAGTAGCTTCATCTGGTCTGTTCATCAATAACGTCTCTCCACTGTCGCTACAAGCATGCTTAGTGTGAGGGATTGCTGAAGAGTCAATGAGTCGATGCAATCAGCTGGTTTTCCTTAGATAGAAAACTTTGAATCAACCTGACTGGATGATCTGGTTTAATCGATTCTGTAAAGTGACCTGAGGTGACACAATGTGAATTGGAACTATAGAAATAAACGGAATAAATGAGGAATGGATTAATAAAACCTGTAATTTCTACTAAGAGACTTTGTAAAACATGGATAGTAAAATTCTCACCCAATATTTAAAAATAAATACAATCATGTATTTATGATTTGATATCCTAACCCTGCTGCCTTGCAGCAAGAAGGTTCTGGGTTTGATTCCCAGCCTGGGGTCTTTCTGCATGGAGTTAGCATGTTCTCTCTGAGGATGCGTGGGTTCTCTCCAGGTACTCCAGCTTCCTCCCACAGTCCAAAAACATGACTGTGAGGTTAATTGACTTCTCTAAATTGTCTTTAGGTGTGAGTGTGAATGGTTGTTTGTCCTGCGTGTCTCTGTGTTGCCCTGCGATGGACTGTCCAGGGTGGACCCCGCCACTCGCCCATTGCCTGCTGGAGATAGGCACGAGCACCCCTTGCTACCCCACTCGGGACAAGCAGGTCAGATAATGGATGGATGTTAATTGGCTTCTCAAAATTCTCGTTGGGTGAGTGTGTGAATGGTTATTGGTTTGTTTTTAAAATACTGTTTCAGTCAAAAAAATTGAGACAGTTATATCGATCCATCTATTGCCATCCCTCCAACAAGGTCTTTCTCCATCTGTTTGTGGGTTAGATGTGAGACCAGTCTACGAGTGGCAGGGTGACCAGTCTACGAGTGGCAGGGTGACCAGTCTACGAGTGGCAGGGTGACCAGTCTACGAGTGGCAGGGTGACCAGTCT